CTTAAAAATTACATTCAATTGAGCTCTTAATATCAGTATAATTCTATATTAATTGAACGGTTTTACTTTTTCTCCTAAATCTATTAAATCTATTAAGTGGTTCTCAACCTTGGCTGACTATTAGAATTAGCTGAGGCTGGAGGAGGCTTACAGAATCCTGATGGCCAGGCTGCACTCTTGACCATAATCTGCAGTGGAGAGATGCAGGCCTTGGTCTTTTTCTAATTCTCCCAAGTGATGTAAATAAGCTGAATACAACTGCTTTTATTGGGTTGCTGAAATTCCATGTATATTGAACTTAAAAACTGGCTTGTGACATTCTGTCAGAACAGCAGAATTCTCTTCTCAGCCACTTGATCATTGGCTCTCATCACAGGAGTAAGGATTCCATGGTATAAGGATGTTCAATTTGGCAAAAGCAGAGCACAGGAAGAACTCCCAAGGACTTTATTTATCTTTTCCCTGGGCTCACAGCAATCATTACACATGAATATGTTTATTTCTCAGAATAATAAATGAGTGTTCTGCAGCCCTGGTTTTAGATTCACATGCAAGATTCTCAGCATCTTCAAGGAAGGGCTTTTCAAAGACTCTAAAACCTCAAACCCATTTTTTTCTGCTGTCTACATACATAGTATGGGAGTTTTGGAAGGCAGAGTTTTCACTGATGAAAATCAATGGGAGAAATATAAAAATGAAACAAAACATATTTCAAACAGGACAAAGAATCGGTGATTGAGCCCATTCATTAGAAACTAATTATGGGAAAAAATATTCTTAGAATTCTTGCATTTGTTGAAAAAAAACCAATAGTTTCATTGTTAGGTAACGCAAAATCTGAACTTTCTCTCAATCTGGGAAGGACTCCCTGAACAAACAGAGCTCAGGCTGCAGTCAAGTACCAATGAAATGAAAGGGCCACCTCTGAGTAGGGGAGGCAGGTGACACTGCACAGCCCCAGTGGACAGAAATAAGCTGAGAAGGAGAATTGGTGGGTATCAGGAATGACATGGCATCGTCCTCTGGGCTGACCCATGAGAGTCAGATGATGAGTGGCCATGAAGGTGACAAAAGTTTATTGGCCTAAAAGAAATATGGGGAAAATAAATAAGCTTTATTTGCTTCTCTGTAGAAATAAACGTGTGTAGTGAATTTCCTTCTAAGACTAGGGAATGTAGTCTGCTGTCAGTTTCCTAATATATCTATCGCTTCCTGAGAATCAAGGACTACAGGGACACTCTAAGTGGTGCATCTAAATAACCCAAAATGGACAGCCCAAGAAATCAAGACAGGAGGGAAATACCAGTTTCTTCTTAGTTCATCCCTGTGTCCCATTAATGGTCCAATAATCTCTTGCTTTCATTATTCTCCTTGCATATCTGACTGTCCCAGACAGGGTCCATTTATTCAAGAATAGTCTTAGTATTAAGATTTGTCACTTGGTTGGGAACTAAGGACATCACATCTGAACAGTGTAGCTTGTTTTTATTTAAGCATAATGAAACTCCATAGGACTTTTCAGTATTAGTACCAGGAGGTTTTGTACATGACCAGGTTGTAGCAATAGATGAAATTTGCTGGCAAGGTAAAAATAATATATTCATCTGTGTGAAACAATAAACACTAAAAGGGGATGCTTTAGTCCTTGAACTTTTCTTTTCCAAAGTATTTCATTGTATTCCAAATAAGAAAGGGAAAAAGTTTGGTGCATTTTCTATGTGAATATCAATGACTCAAAATATTTTTAGTGTGTTTGCGTTGAAGTCATTGAACCAGTAGTGAACTCTTGTACCTGGGAAGCCATTTCTGTATACAAAGAAAATCCAAAAGCTACTTTCCACATTGAATATTCAGGAAAAAGATAGAAAAATTAAAAAATGTTCTCTGTTGTTGAAATGTAGTGAATTTGCTATGAAAATAAAATCTCTTAATTCAGTACTAATAACTAAAGTTATAAATTATGTCATACAAGTATTTTAATCAAATTATTAATACCACAGATTTCTGGAATTATTACCCAATGAGCAAAATAAATTATGCTTTGAATCATATAAAAAGAAAAAAGCTGCCCTGGCTGGTGTAGCTCAGTGGATTGAGCACGGGCCTGTGAAGCAAAGGGTCGCTGGTTCCATTCCCAGTCAGGGGCACATGCCTGGGTTGCGGGCCAGGTCCCTAGTGGGGGACACATGAGAGGCAGCCACACACTGATGTTTCTCTCCCACTCTTTCTCCTTCCCTTCCCCTCTCTCTAAAAATAAATAAATATATTAAAAAAAAAGAAAAAAGCAATAGATTTTGGGATAGTATTACCGATGACTTAGCAACACCATAGGTATACTTTTTTCCCCCTAAGTTTACAAAAATTCCCAGGAAATGGAAATTTCTATGTGGTTACAATGTGAATGTAAATGTATTAGAACAAAATGGGTTAATTATCTTTTCTTAAAATAATGTATTTATAGAGTTTGACACAAAGAATAATGACTAAGGTTGCACAACTCAGAAGAATCGAAAGATACTGCAGTAACACAAAATTGTCTTTTAATGTTTGTTCACCAGTTCATTGTATCTTACAGAAAATGAAAACATTTTTTTCTTGTAATACAGATTGGTTCTTTTCCTCAGATTTGCATTCAGTAGGTATTAAATGCCTTTAAATACTGATTGTCTTTTGATCAGATGGCTTAATGACTTTTTGTATTTTGTATTTATTTTGTACATCATTGCTACTCTGGCAGTAGTGAGCTGTGATACAGTTAACTTCTCAACAAAACTGTCAGTTACCCATTGATCATTCTCGATGCATTCTATGCTGAAAACTGAGAGTAATTCCCTTTTACTCCCCCCGCTCACAGTGGTCAGCTACTCTGTGAGACCACCATGTTCTCTGGAGCATTGAAATCAAGAAACCCAGTATGGCTGCCAGCAACCAAATTGGAATCTCCTTTGAGTCTACTTTGAATTGCCAAAATAATAAGCGACTAAATCACTGTATAAAATAAAACTTTAACAGGTACCGGCCCCCTTTCTATGAGAGAGTTTAAATTTACAAAAACCATATCTGACTAAAAATTACTGTGATTAAATATGGCAACAGTTGTTAAAAGATGGCTTCCAGTGTTAATATGGTTAACTTGTGTCTATTCCTATTCTTTTTATATGAATCATGTCTTTTTGATGGGTTTTAAAATGTAGGTGTCTCAATTCAACTCCAAGATAAACTTTCCTGCTTATATAGGCCACATGTGTTAATTATGGACAAAATGATCAAAACAAGGTTTTCTAACCCAGCGTCCCATCTTATCTCTTCTTGATACTCTTGGAACCCAAGCCTAAGGGGCAATATCTGAATTAGCCAATGTTGTGCTGACTTTCTGTTAGTAGTTGTACAAGGATAATCTGTCTTCTCCCAACATTCTTAGTGAGATATCTTGGTCAATGAAGTAGGAAAGGAGACATTTGGTGGAAAAATGGCAAATGATAACATTAAAAAAGAACTGTTCAAGTAGAAGTCCAAAGCGGTAAGGAGATCCTCATCCTTTAGGGGAAAGTCAGAAGATAAAAATTCTGCCCTGCAGTTTTCTTTTGAAAGATTTTTTTAAAAGCTTGGAAAAATGGTGTGCAGTCAGTATAGATTTTAATCAGCTAACAGTCAGTCCAGAGTTTTTGATCAGCACCAATTTCTATACTAATAAGTATTCAAAAGTTAAGAAATGTTAGCTACTATGATTAACATTATAAAGGTAGAGTTTGAAGCAATAACTGAAAATTATGCATCTGTTCAATATAAATTTGTTCCCACTTGCATTTCCAATAAAATTCTTATAACATGGGTAATAATCATTCAAGTATAAGCTTCCTCCAATGAATTAACCTCCATACTTGAGGTGTTAAGAGTCACTCTTTTGGATAGTACCATCTTTAAATAAAGTGTTTATCTAACTTGAGACCATTCAGGAATTTTTAATCTAAAAGTTCAAGTTCTATTTGTATCATCAGTGTTTGAGTTTAAACCTCACAATCTCTTTGGATTTACATTTGTAATTTTTGTACAATTTGCATATCCAATCTAATGTAAAAATGTGCATGCATACCTTGTTTTAATAATTAAAGCATCTGAAAATTTCCAGCTATGTTCTTGATAAAAGATGTGATTTACTTTTACTTACAATATTTTGTCTGGATGATGTATGAATATAGTTATGGTTTTATGGACTTCCAATTATTCTATACCTTCCACAAATATAACTCTACATTTAGAGAGTAAATTTATTAGAATTATTACAGCACTTTAAATGCAACCACAATCAATTCAGGAAACAGATTTATTTACTCATGTTCACGGGAGGAAAATCTACATAAAAACATTCATGAAAGCATGCCAGCTATGTCATACTTGGGTTATTATACTAAATCCCATTTATTAGAACTCATTGGGAAACAATGGGAAACCATAACATGTAATTTGAATACAAATATTGGTCCCTGTGGGGTCTCAACAGTCATAAAAATATAGGAAAACAGAGCTTTATTTAAGATTGGAGCTGCTAATGCAAAAGTTGCTTTTCTGAAACTGGCTTTTTCCCCTTTTGCTGACAGCCCTGATGATTTTAGTGTAAACTCTTTGATGACAGCTTCAGTGTTTCATTTACACCTAAGGATGGCCAGCAAGGAGGGTGACATCATTCACCACCGTTGTCTCATGGAGGGAGGAAGGTTTAGAACTACTTTGCGGACTTCTTTTTCCTCAACCACAGGCACCAGTTGGGCTTTCTTATGTAAATAGAAATAAGAAAAATAAGAATTTTGAAAGCTGGGTCCTTATTTCTGGGTTAGGAATGTGTGTAGTTATTTATTTCTTTTATGAATTAAAATTTTAAATGTAATGTAAATAAAAAGGAAATATTAAATAGCTTAAAGTTATTTTTATAGGACAATAACATTTCATAAGCTAACATAAAGTCAAGCTGCTAAATTTTACAATTTTTCTGTCCAGCAGTTTATCTATATAACTGCCCTGAGTAGATGCTAAATGCTGCTTAGCCAATGGCCCTTAGAATTTAAATATAACTCAGTAAAGCTACTCAAAAGATAAGACGATTCTTCTTAGGCATGTGTAATTTTAATAATAAGAAGGTAGGAGTCTCTCATTGATTAAATATTATCTGCTTATTTAAATCTCATACTTCATATAAATGGGGTTATTAAGGAGTTTTATCTGTGCTTATTACTGTGCATTGGAGTCCTATGAATTTTATTTTATGTTTTGGTCAAAAAGGCAGGATTTCAAACAGTAAAACATTCTATTGGAGAATTGCAGTATTAACTTCTAGAAAAGTGTAGATTTTTTTTCTTGTGAAACTGAGTTTTGTGCAACCTCTCAGAATGTCAGTTTATGTAAAGAAATATGCATTTCAAATCTGTTGCTCTAATTTGTTTGTTGTAGTGCATTTCAAAATTGTACAAATGTGTAAAATTTGTGCTTGTGGAAGCTGCTGCTCTGAGTAGCTTTACTTTCCTTAATTTAGGAAAGTAAATTTCCTAAAGTAAATTTCCTTTCCCGGCAAATCCTCAGGTTATTGCATGCCCCGTCATGGGAGGGTACTTCATTGGGATGATGTAGCCTAAACAGTCTGGCTCTAAAGCCTCCTTTATGTAGCACTCCCCTCAGAATTATATTAATTTATAATATATATTGAATGATAGCTTTACAAAAACAAATTAATGAATTGATCTTTATGAAAATGACTCTTTACAGTAAGTAAAAAAAGGGTTATCACAGTTTTGGTAACTTGCATGAGTTCATATTGAAAAAAAAAAACAAAACCTTTCACATGTTCTTAATGACTTTGAACTTGCCGTGCTCTGGGGGCACGCTCAGTTGTATGCTCTGAAGCAGTAGACACCGTACAGCTTATGCTTTTTATCTGGGAAACCCACGAAGCGCACCGCAGCCTCCGTAGGACTGCAGCGCCTTCTTGGCCTAGAGATAGGGTAGCGGACACTGCCGTCCTCCAACCAGCCCGCATCGCAGCGGTCGTAGCCCAGAAGTTTCCAGGCAGCGAATATCTGGCCCACTTTCGCAATCCGAGCACCGTCGTTGAGACAAGCCTGCACCGCTTCATCATAGGTCAGCTTGGTGGGGTGGATCAGGTAATAAAAACGGCCTGCGGAGAGACAGAGAGAGATCAATGGGCCTGTGTGTGCCTGAGCCACGCAGAGGTGGAAGGAGCCCCGCAGGGAAGTGTTTCTCAGGAAAGTGGGAAATAGAGCCATGTCTCAACAGTTTTGGGGACCCAGGATTCTCAGTCAAATGCAGTGCCCCTAAATCACTCTCCATTAAATTAGTTAGTTTTTTTTTCCAGGCCCCTTAATACATGTTCAGACATACCCTTTTATAGCTCTAAAAAGGAAAAGGGGAATGACAGATGAAGTTTCTGAAGTTTCTGTTCACTAATTAGTGACTAAAAGGGCCCTTCTGTGGCAATAGAGAAGACAGAATTCCATGTTAAAAGCAAGAGCTATTTAAATTCTAGCTGAAGCAAGACTGAACCCCAGCACAAGTTTCTGGAGAGGCAAAATTTGAATGTGAAAGGATCAAAAAACATTCCTGACATAAAAGTCCATTAAAAAAAATCAAAAGCCCTCAAGTCCTTTTCATCACAGGTATCAATACGACATTATTCTTATTCAAAGACTACAGTATGAAAATGCAAAAAAAAAATACAGGAAGACACTTGCCATAAATAATACTGGCTCAGAATGTGAACCTAGTCTGTTCACTCACCAGGGAAAAGGATGAATTTATTTACTTTTTTCAACTTTCCTCTGTGGGATCCTGATACCCAACTTTTTTTTTAAATTTCACAGGAGCAATTTGAAGTTAGTCTCCAGAACTAACTGAATAGTGTTCATTACTAAGATTCCTTCAATATGTATTAAACATCCATAAAATGTACGAAATATGAGAGCACTGACTGAAGTGATACACACCAACTGAATATTTTCTCAGACTTTTTTCAGATAGAATATAATCAGTCTTGTGTCTGATTATACATAAAATATAGATTACTGAAGTATAAATTAATGCTCGCCAGTACTTTCTAGACTAAGATGATGTGATCTGGAGAAAGGGTAGATAGAAGCCATTGGAACATTAACTAGTTCTATCACTTACACCAGATGTCGGCAAACTACAATACCTCAGTCAAATGAAGTTTTTATTAAAACATAACCACGCCCATCCATTTACTACTGTCTATGGTTATGTTTGTGTTACTATGTACAAAGTTAAATTTATTACTTATAAAAGAGACCATATGGTCTACAAAGCAAAAAATATTACTCTCTGGCCCTTTGCAGAAAATTTGGTGATCCCTGATCCCTTGCTATTTGTCCCAAAGCATGTCACCAGGGAACTAACATAGATGCGGCCAGGGTTTGCTTCATGGGTGTGTGACCTGTGCAGTCAGACATGGCCGCATAATTGGTTTAATGCCCCGCTGTCACCATCTTAAAATTCTCAATACTTTTGGAACAAGGGACCAACATTTTCATTTTGACTGGGCCTCACATTACGTAGCTGGTTCCAGAAAGAGCAGGGTAAGTTTGGGAGTTTTGTTGAATGCGAAGAATCAGTCATCACCACTGAGGCAACATGAACCTCTTCTCTTCTCACTTCCAGTGTTATTGCCACTGAGTTTTCTTGCAAAGCACTCTTCCTCCTCAACTTTGTCGATCATTTATGACTATATTGACATTAGAATGGAGAGAAAGCGCACATGACAGAGAAGCCACCCTTACTTCCTTTGGGAGAGCTATATCCTAGGGAGAGTACACAGGGGCAGCCTCACTTTTGGCAATAAAAAGCAGGCCCTAGACAGCATCACACCGTAAACTGTTTCATAGTACCAATCAGATGCAACAAAACCCAAGAACAGTGGAAATATACACTTTTGCTTGACTTCTGTCAATTAGAAATAAATTATGACCTCAAAGAACTCTTTACATCTTTTCAAACTGGAGCAATACTTCAATGCTTTTATCTTTTCTTTTTAAGTACATAAGACTGGAAATGATGTGTAGTGGCATAGTACATATTGGCTTGTGGTATAGGAAAGAAGGCAGTGTGGTTGGTATCTTACCGTTGAAGTTGGATGTAAAACAGAACACATCATATCTGCTTTTCTCTTTATCCCAAAACCCATAGTTCCTGACACCGGGCACGGTGTTCTGGCCTCCGCAGGGCTCCCGTGGCTTGGTGATGGGGTACTGCACAGAGCCGTCGCTGAGCCAGCCAGCATTGCACCAGTCCAGCCCACCCCGCCAGGCATCATACAGCTGGTCGAAGGAGGCAATCACAGCATCCTGGTCTAGACAAGCCTGCTGTGCCTCGTGGAAGTTGAGATTATAGCGCCCCAGTCGTGGAAAGTAAGGGAATACCACACCTATCCAAAGGAGAAAGCACGGGATCATTAGTGGTACAAAAAGTTACATGTATGAATAGGCCCCACTTGACTGGTGAAAAAACATGATAAACTCTCCGTCAGAAGAAGCAGTAGGTTTTGGCAGCTTGCAATGGGTTCTCATTGTCTCTTCCCCCTTCAAACAGCCTCTCAGCTCTGAGCTTGTCACAGTTTGCTTTGTGGTTTGACAACTTCAGTGATTTACTTCTTTTGCTGAGTTCAACCTGAACCTTGAAATTCTCCTTTCCAAAATGAATCACCTGCAGACCATATTTCCAAATAGCCATCCTTGAGAATTTACCATCTGCTACTGGTTACTAACCCTAACAATGTATTCCTGAGCCCTGTTTGGAAAAAAGTCGATATCGAACACTAAGCATGGGAGGGGATACAGAAATGGTGCTGAGAGAGAAATTGTTCATCAAAATTCACAATGTGTTTTTCTCAGTAATTATTCTTATATAATCAGTAACTCATTTTATATTGTCTTTTAAAAGTATAAACAAATGTTAAATTATCCATATATTTTTTCCTTTTTTAATTGCTGTTCAAGTACAGTTGTCTCCATTTCCCACCCTTGATCCTACCCCCTTTCGCTTTGTCCATGTGTCCTTTATACGTGTTCCTTGACAACCTTCCCTCCTTTCCCCCACTATCCCCTCCCACCTCCCCTCTGGTTACCGTCAGTTTGTTTTTAATTTCATATACTTTCTTTTACCCTTGATCCTCAAAACTTGCAGATAAGTAACTTTCACTTACAGGTGCCTTCTGATTTGGATAAACCTCAAAGTGAAGCCCTTTGCATATCTAACAAAAACCTAATCGAACCATCTTATTTTATCTTAATGAAGCAACCCTTTACAGTGAGGAATGCCTCCATAAAAAGCTTCATGGCTCTCTTATTTGTTTCAGTTTTTAACATAGCCCTTACACTTTTTTTCCTGTTCTTAAACAAGGCAACTAAAATAATGGCTTTATTTAAAAATATTTCTATTACAATTTTCAGTTTTCACATTCATATATTGCAAAACAAAACTAAGCTTTTAAAAGCATTTTTATTACAAATAGAAAAATAAATAACACTTCCTAATGCTTGTCCTATACAAGGTAGGTAAAGAATAGACATCTGCTGATTAAGTTAATGCCAGAGAATTAAGTTAAATATTTTAAAAGGCAAATGTGTGTGGTGTGATTTGGCAGTTAGCTAGCCTGGGAAGATGCGGATTTTCAAAAGCATTCTTTTTGCTCAAATAATCATGGGAGGTGATTGAGCTGTCTCACAATTTTTTGCACAATTTCTTTAAAGGATAATGATTACTTAAGAAAGCAAAGTTGTACCATTTGCTGAACTTTAAGAAGGACACTGTATCAAAATGTTTCCCCCATTGTTGCTAAAAGACAATTTTAGTGTGATTATTCAAATCCTTGCCTTGGATTTTAAAAATATAATCAGAATTAATATTTTAAATAAGGAATATAAGAAATTGTCCCACTGACAGTAATGTGGTGAATTATATCACTTGCGCTATTTTTATGAGACTACAGGCCCTACTAAAGATGAATGTACAATTCACTAATAGTGCAACCAGTACACAGGAAGTGTTTTCTTTTATAAGTTGTCCTGGATGACCCTAACAAGCAGAAATTTCAATAGCCTAGATCAAGTCACATCCACCGAAGGCCCCTGCAGGACACGTTTGTCCCTCCAGGGCAGTCCAGCTGGCACTGTCCACGACAGGCAGAGATCCAGGGAGGCCTCCTGGTCTCATCCTGCCTTCTCAGGTTCTTGGCTAAGTGATCTGTAAGCTGAATCAGAGCCAAAAGGAAGGAGGAAAAGACTCTCGGGTTGCCAGCGCCCCCTGCAGTGATGATGGAAGGGGAGCCTGCGGATGGCTCTATCGAAGAAGAGCTTCGTCCAGGCGTCCAGCTAAGAACCCAGTCAGTGCTGGGAAGGGACAGAGCTCCCAGTCCCTTTGTGCCTTTCATTCTTTCCTCAGCAGCCCCAGGGATGCCGCTGTAAAGGAAAATGCTTAATTTATCCATTAGTGATTTCCTTGGCAGCTGGATGTCAAGTGACAGAAAAACTCCAAAATATGTCCATGTGGAGAGAGAAGGAAACCATATGGGTTGAATTTCATTTTCCAAATGGTTTAAGATGGTAACAGTGGAGAATGTAGAATAAATATTTTCTTTCTTTTTAAATTGTTATTCTGTTATCGTCATCCCAATTTCCCCCCCTTTGCTCCCCTTCGCCCAGCCCGTCCCCCGCTTTCACAATCCCCACACCATTGTCCATGTCCATGGGTGATTCATATATGTTTTTTTGACTAGTTTCTTTACTTATTTTCCACTATTATCCCCTCTGGCTGTTGTTGTTCTGTTGCATGTTCCCATGTCTTTGGTTCTATTTTCCTCATTAGTTTATTTTATTAGTTTCCTCTTAGAAGTGAGATCACATGGTATTTGTCCTTCACCAACTGGCTTACTTCACTTAACATAATGCTCTCCAGTTCAATCCATGCTGTTGCAAAAGGTAGGAGCTCCTTCTTTCTTTCTTTTGTGTAGAATTCCATTGTGTAAATGTACCAGTTTTTTAATCCACTCATTTACTGATGGGCACTTAGGCTATTTCCAGCACTTGACTATCGTAAATTGTGCTGCTAAGAACATAGGGGTGCATAAGTTCTTTTGAATTGGTGTTTTGAGATTCTTAAGGTTTATTCACAGTAATGGAATTGCTAGTTCAAAAGGCAGCTCCCTTTTTAATTTTTTTGAGGAAATTCCATACTGTTTTCCACAGTGGCTGCACCAGTCTGCATTCCCACCAACAGGGCACAAGGGTTCCCTTTTCTCCACATCCTCACCAGCACTTATTGTTTGTTGATTTATTGATGATGGCCATTCGGACTTGAGTGAGGTGACATCTCATTGTGGTTTCAATTTGCAAGAATATTTTAATTTATAATAATTTTAAAAACTAAAAAATATCAGGCTTAAATTCATTGCAATATATTTGATGGATTTTCATAGGCATTAGGACAATTTTTCTTTAGTAATTTGTCCTTGATTAATCATTGAATATTAGTGAAATGTAGTTCTGTTCCAAATCCAGTGTAATATATTTTTATTTGAGTTCCTTTTAAATTTAACATAATTTCAAGCAAGCATTTTCCTAAAGTCAAAATGAAACCCTATATTAAAATTTCACTATTTCCCATTTGGTGGATGATCAACTTACTGTTTTATTGATTTAAAAGATTTACATATATTTTAATGAATATTTGATGATGCTCAAAGAACCCACTGCAAGTACATCAAGGTCAATGTCTACATTTTACTCAGCCCAAATTTTAAAAGCTTCACTGCATTTTGCACATTCAGTGCATATATTTCAACAATCAGATATTTCTTAGAAGCAGGAACATTTCTGGAACAACATGATTTTTAGCATTTATGTATATACCTGTTTTACTTTCAGCTTATTAAGATTTCAACATCTACAACTGTGACTGCAGAAATATTCTTGGCTCTTTGAGGAAAATCTGTAATTCCTACAGCTGAATTATGGAGCCAGGGGTGTTTGCTTTCATCCACCACTTACAGAAATAAGAAAAATCAAACTTCCATGGGTGAAAAGAAGCGTATTTAGTTATTTTCAGAGTATAATTATTTTATCCTTCTATGTCAAAGTATAATAAATGTTCTTTACTTTTCCATAGAGGTCTGGTACGCATCACCGCAAAGGGGCTTAGTAAGGATGATACATCATCGCATGGAAATGAGTAATAGCAAACGATGTGAGTAGGGTTGTCAGTGGAACTACGTTAGGAATACACATCCTTTAATATTTATAATTGCAGTCTATTTTACCCCAGTTGTTGGCAAACATAAGTTGTTAGACACATGACAGGGTTTCATATCATGGTACATATAAAAACTAAAGTAAATTTCAAAAACTCCATGAAGTAAATGCATTTAGTAACAAAAAGGCAGAGACCATGCAGCACAGTTTCGCCCTCCTCTGGGCCTCTCCTGGGGCTTACCAGTGCTGTCTACATATATAGAATTATTTTCCTATTTCTGAAAGTCCTCAGATGATATTTTTTGTGTATTTGGCCTCGGTTTCACCAATATTCATGGATAATAATTTGAATCAAAAACCGAAAGCACAAGATGACGTGCATTCAGGAGTCAAGAACAATGACTGAGAGAGAGGAGAAGGTCACAAAAATGCATCTTACAACATCATGTAATTTATTAGATACGTACATCCAATAAATTTCCATACAGGTGATGGAGTTCTAAGGGGTTCAGAGGTCAAATCTTCAATGATGTGCTAGTGGAGGAAACACATCCTTTTCCAGAGGCAAAAATCCTTGGAAGGAGGTGAAAGGAGCTTCTAGCATGCACACACTTATAGTTTATGTGCATAAAGAAGAAAAATATTCTACCAATGCAGCTAAAATTCCTCCTCCAGTGGAAAGAAACTCAGAAATTCATGAATGTAAGTTTTGAGATACCTGAGAAACCACAGGGAAGTTTCCCTACTGGTGGGGCATTTAGAGTGTGGGCTTTGGGCAGAGGAGACACAGGATGACAAGGACACTTTCATTGTTGAGCTTTCTACACATTTTGGGTTTTGAACCTACTGAATATATTACACATACAAGAAATGAAATTTTCCCTCAAATGTCTTGACCATTTGGCATTCAATGTCTAAGAGACTATTGACCATTTAAAAAAAGTACTTCTTGCTCTGGCTGATGTGGCTCAGTGGACTGCATGGTGGTCTGTGAACCAAACAGTTACTGGTTCGATTCCCAGTGAGGACACAAGCCTGAGTTGTGAGCTTAGTCCCCAGTAGGGGGTGTATAAGAGACAACCACACACTGATGTTTCTCTCTCTTTTTCCCTCTCTAAAAATAAACAAATAAAATCTTAAAAAATTACTTCTTTACAATAGTAAATAAATCTGGAGGCAACTTTTTGTTAAATTGAGTTTTCAAAGTTACTTTATAGAATACAATTACATGTATTTTAGTTAGCAGATATCCTTCACAAAACTTGCCATTATTTTGAAAGTGAGATAATTTTTGAAGTATAATAAAAAAGCATTGAATCTGAATTTCTCAATAACCACGTAATGAGATTTAAGTTTTGAATAGCATAGGCAGTTTCTGAATATTATTAATTCAGTTCCACTGCACATTTGTTCTGCTTGTAAATAGCTTCAGTTTTGCACATAACCATTCTGTGCACATTTCAAGTATGAAAGCTGGAATCATAGACAGCCTACGAAATACACGAGAATAGAAAAACATTCTATGCATGGACTTTTGGTTTGTTGCACCATCGCTCTGATAACCACTAGACATCCTGAAAAAAAAAAGACTAGACATCATGAAAAAATAAAAGAGCAATGATTAATTATAATTTTTTAAGTTTGACATGATCTATGGATACTTACCTTGTAAATCTAATGCTACCACGGCAGTATCATCTTCTAATCCTTCAATCACCTCGCACTTGTATTTCCCATAATCCTCCAGGGTGAGGTCTGTGATCACCAGAGAAGCGTCGTTTTCACTGACCCCCTTCAGAAACACTCTACCCTGGTAGCCTGCATAGGCTTTCTTGTGGTATCCCATGGAAACAAAAACATCCACTTCCTTAAGGTAATCTGAAGTTAGCTTGGTCCACTTAATTCGGATTTTGTGGGTTCCTGAGCCAAATGCTGTAGGGTCTCGAAAAAATGCACACGGCAGAGTGACATTGCCACCTCTGTGGGAGAACACCTTGGCTTGTTCTGCTTCCACACGGAGATGGGGGCCATTTTCTGCTATAATTAAAAAAAAGAAAGAAAAGAACCATTAGTATGCTTTTAGACATTTCTCTGAAGTGAAATATGCTACCCATAAAGTGTATCTGATGAACAGTTGCATTGGGTGATAAGCTTCTCTGCATTGTTTGAGAGGAACCTCGTGGAAAGGTACCCCTAACACTTGGAGGGCATCTGGAAGGTAGCCATGTCTTTAGATCCATTGAAAAGAGGAAGAATGTGCATACGTATTAGGAAATATTGGATATAAAATTCCATAGTCATCTGGAATTTGATGATTTCATAATAAATGTTATTTTTTACATTTAAATGTCAAACATATAGAAACAAGGCCAAGGAAAATGATGAAGTGCCATGATTATTTCATTAATATAAACTAAAAAATTTGTAGATAAAGTGTCCTCTTCCTAGGTGAGCTTTCTAATATAATAAATCTGTATTATATTTATAGAAAAAGTATAAAACAACATGATCAACTTTTATTATACTTCTGGCCAAAGAACTTAGAATAGTCTCACCTTTATGGCCTCTATTAAAATATATACCTGTAATTAAAATGCCATTCTGGAGTATTTTAAGCAACAAGGCCGGACATCACAAAAGTATTTTAGTGAATGCTTTATAAAACCTCCAGATTTTAAAATATATCCCTTAAAACTCAAATGTTAAAAGTGTATCCAAAGTTATACTTATTTTCTGACTAGCCAAATAATTACTTCTTTATTTCCTTACATCTCCTTCTATTCCCTCTCTCTTTGCTTGCTGCTATTTCTTATTTAACAGTTATCACAGCCACCTCTCCCTTCCTTGCCCTTTGGTTTTCCTCTGCCAAGGACTTTCTCGTCTTCCAGAGAGCACCGCAGCATTCCAAGCTTGCCAAGTCAGCAGGGCTGCGGTTATCCAGAGAGCCAGCGGTTATTTTCAGATCTTGGCTTTCTCTGGGGTTTCCCTTGGTTAGCTCATTGTGCCTTTGACCTTGACAAGTGCAAGGTCAAAGATTTGAGGATGTGCAAGATTTGAAAATGAGAAAGTGATATAAAGGACTCCTGGGACACACACAGCTTTTCATCTGTACACAGCTTTCAAAGGCTACAGAAAACTGCCCTTCCTCTGCCCTTCTGCTCTAGGCAGGTAGGTACTGAGTAAACCTTGGACATGAATCGTTTAAGACACAAGACAGCATGAGTTGTAGCCTCTCACCTCCAGGCAGATCTACAACTTAGCTATTTAGTGGTATACATAGGATTCAGATTTAAAAATAAAAAGTGTACAAAAGTAGACACAGTGGTTCTATCTTTATGATATAGCAATCAAAATGATCCAACACTGAAAAATAAAATAAATTTCATATATAGGTTGGCCCCAACCCTCAGAAACAGAAAATTTTATCAGTTCCATCAATGTCCCCACTTGGGGGATAAAGAAAGAGAGAGAGGGAGAGAGAAAATATAATGACTTAATTAAAGTGAATCCAGCTCGTTAAGCATTTCCTTTAGATTTTTTCATTTTCAGGTCCACCAAATTATAAGAGATGAAAGATAATCTATCCAACTCTACCCTACATATGACTGTCCCCTACAATATCCCCGATGACTACATACAAGTGATACCTAAGGATCCCTAGTGTTTTCTTTCTGGGAGGAGAAAAATGAGCTGTTGACTAAGTTTGCTCCGTTATGCGTGAGGGCCATAGGGAACATCTTCTACCCAGACCCTTGGGAAGACACCTAGGAGATGGGCCTTTTCCTGCTGGAACTTGAGTTTTGACATGAAACAGAATTATAAGAGGTTGCAGTTTCATGTTTCTTTTAAGCTTTTTAAAGTCAAAACTAATGTCCAAATGCACCAGGATATGGGTTATCACAGTGGTTAAGAATAAGGACTTTAATGTGATAGAGACCGTGTTCTAACTTTACCTCCCTAATTTACTGGCTCTGTAGCCTAGAGCAAGTTGTGTAACCTCTAAACCCCAATTTTGTTATATGTGAATTAGGGGTAGTAGTACCCACTATATAGAGCTTTTTTAAAAATTATTTTATTTATTTATTTTTATTGTTTTTTCAAGTACAGTTTTCTGCCTTTTCCTTTCATCCCTCCCTACTACCTTTAGAGTTGACTGAATAGACACATGAAACACTTAAAATAATGGCTGAGCCAAAGTAAGTGTCCATTCGCTATTAACTGTTCCTACGGCATAGATTTTCCACAGTATTTCTCAAATATAACCCTGCCTTACACTGAGCTTAATAGTGGCATATATGAAACTTCCATAGTTTCACTTAATTATAAAGTTTTGAACTATGTGGAGTAAAAAAAATACATAAAATGCCACCTGTGTTGTACAGAAAACATGGAGATGATTGTATGGTTGGGCGTAATCATAAGGTATTCCAGAATGCACACAAGAGCTGAGTGTTTTATAAATTAAAGGGTTAAAGCCAAGATCAAAACTGTTGTGCAAAGGACTGAGACTTCTAATTTTATTGTGGTTAACTCTAAATCATCTTGTAGTACTTTAGACGTGTAAGCTTGTGATTTTTTTTAGTTACTATTTACTTTTACTCCAGCATTGTGAGTAGATGGTGACTTATGTGGTATAATGTCAAGAAGGGAGCAGACACCAAAAATCCAGTCTTTCCACAAAATAACGTTTTGTACAAGTCTGCCAGAGTGTATAAATTTCTACCATTTTATTTTTATTTTGGGGGAACTGGGTGTTGAGCTAATAGATGACAGAAGTCCCTGACTGAAATTCAAAAAATCATGAGAAAGACGTGCAATGTGTATGTAACACATTTAGTGACTGAGAGCCATTAATCATGAACCTGAACCTCTAACATGGCCTGCTGAGAACACTGCATTCTGTTTGCTTGTTTTCATAGCAGATCCACAGTGCAGATTATAGAGCATTGAACGCTGATGAGGAGTGGCCTACTGCAGAACAGGTAAGATGTAGGCATGAGCACTGGTCAGCGAATCAGGAGCTCTGGCTTCTATTGCAGGTCCTAAGAACTTAGCTATTTGAGTGACAGGTCTATATGTCTTGAGAACATTTAGTGTAAGAGTTTAAGATTCTTAAAGAAAAATTTTTGTATTTAATTTTTAAAATCCTTACCCAAGAACATGCTCAGTCATTTTAGAGAGAGGGGGAGAGCTGGAGAAAGAGACAGAGAGAAATTCTGACACCAAGAAACAGTGATTGGTTGCCTTGCACCATGACTGAGGACACACACAACCCAGGCACGTGCCCTGACTCGCAGTCGAAACTGCAACCTTTCCATTTACTGGACAATGCTCCAGCCAACTGAGCTACACCAGCTAGGGCGAGTTTAAGATTCTTATCAGACTCACTATGGAAAGTTGTCCTGCTAGGGATCAACCAGGAAACACACTAGGCTGGAGAGGAAGAGGGAAGGCTGGAAGAGTAGAAAAGGGAGCCGAGAGTGCTGGTGGCAAACTTCACACTGTCTTGTCTAGTGGAAGTTGTGCGTCTGATCGCTGAACACAAAAACCTGGATCAGTCTAACATTTATGCTTAACTCAAAATTGTTTGATCAATATTCAGTTGCAAAGCAAGTAAAATAGAAAAATAAAAATAAACTTTGGTAGTAAGAATAAGTATTGCTTGTTTTGCTTTTTAAAAAAAATGTAAAAAAAGTTAATAAAACAAGGCAGCATACATATACTCATTTGGGGGTAAATTTTTTTAAGTTAAGTTTTTAAGTTGCAGAAATTTCATATTCCTATTAATGGGTTTCAATAACAGTGACTTGAAAGATTTGATGCCCTTCACGGACCACGGTTGTCTCCAGGGCAAACAGCGGGGTCTTGTTATTATTTTACAAGTTCTGCTGTGAAATCCAGGACGTTGTTCAATTTCACCAAATTATAAAAGCAATGACATGACCAAATAAGTGATCTTTATATTGCCATATAATTTAGATGCTGTCTTTTAAACAATAGAACAAAAACAGTTGCAGAAAAAAGTTTTGAAACATATTAGACTATTTATTACCTATTGTTCTTCATTGTTGAGAAATACACAGGTAACAGACAAAGAAGAGAAGGTGCTACAGATCCAAGTTTTCTTTTCAAACTAAACTGGCGATTGTGCACATAGCCAGTTTTGGTTGGTTACTTGCTCTCTGGCATGTAGGTGAAGTAGCCTACAGACTTCTGAACTTTGTAGATCAATAAAATGTAAACAGAAAACCAAAAAAATTGGGGAATATAACATGGCTAAATAAGATACTAAACAAGGACATTGAAAATACTCCCCTCTACCACCATCTGCATTTTTGATTGTAGTGAAATATACATAACTGTATGTGTTTGCCATTTTAACCATTTGTAAGTGTGTGATGCAATGGCATTAATTGCTTTCACCATTTTGTACAAACACTAGCACTACCTATTTCAAAAACTTTTCATCACACCAAATGGAAAGCTCTTTCTTCTTGCCATTCCAAACTGGGAGGCTGAGACGCAACTGTTAGCTCCATGGTGAGTCACTTGAAAAAATCGCACTGGTTTAAAAAATAATTCCTTATTTCTGTGACATCTGTTATCACCGTGGTGGGCTTGGGTGTGTAAGACTAACACTTTGAAAGCTGTTACTTTCATTAGGGTAGCCAAGCCTGCCTGAGGGGGAGCAGCCTACATGGCTTTGTGTCCTTGCTGCTGTGCCTGCATTGTCTACTGGAAACGATCACTCCGCCTCCCCTGCCATGTCTTGTTCACATGGTTCCTCACTTAGCAACATCGCACCTGTCGTGTGCAGTGTCTGCGACCGAAATGGGCTGTGCTCCTGCTGCCTAGGGCCTGTACGAGCCGTAGCAGTAAGCATGGATACCTGCTATTTGCCTTATAGAGTTATATAGCTCTAAAATTAGAACACTTATAAAAAATTAAATACACATACTAAAGACTATTTAAAAGAAAGTATAACTTAAGCATTGGTCTCTCATTGTACCTTGCATATTCCATTTGAGTAGGGTAACTTGGAAAAAATGAAAAAAAAATGGAGTATCTTACCTATTTAACTGTTTATAATTAGTTTTTTTCAGCTTGGAACAAATGTAATTTTTTGTGAAGTTGCTCACCTGGTGTCAGAAGTTCCCATCATTTGCTTATACTTCTGATGTCTCTGACCAGCTTTGCATTAGAAACTTAACAAAGGTCCTCTTTCCAGACCCTCCTGCCTCCCAACCTCCGCCTTCCATCCAGCCTTTACTGTCCTGTTGGAGAGCTGATGACTTTTAATTTGTCAGAGGCAGAGCTTTCATTTATTCCCTAGATATCCCTGAATGCAAAGGACCCTGAGCTTCTCTGTGACCCAGCGCCTCAGGAAGGGTGGACCTGATGAGGGCAGGAGAGGAGTTTTAATGGGGATCAATTCTACCCTCTGCCCTCGTGGACTTGTTTTGAGTTTGAAACCCTCTTGGATTTGTCCCCAGCCTGTCTCTGCTTTCATCTGAAATTCAAACTCTGCCCTAAAAGTACGTCGTGCTTCTTACCATTTGTGTAAACTCAAAGAAATATGTATATGTGCATAGACTATATATGAAAAGATTTGCAAGAAACTAATAAACTTGGTAGCCTGTAGAAAGCTGAGGTAGATGTCTGGGTGCAGGAATCTTGGGAGACTTCCACTGTGTATACTTGCACATTTTTAATATGTTGAACCATGTGAATGCATCACCTATGTACAAACTAAATGAAAATGGTAGGAAAATAAATTAAAGAGTTGAGGAAATTTAACTAACAAATAAAGAAACCAAAAAACCCTTATCTAGAGCATCTCCAGAACATATGTTGAAGAGCTCTTAGCCAAGATTGTAATAATGTAATACGGTTATAACTGAAGGGTAAATTAAAGGATTTTTTTTTGCAGAAGACCTATTGCTCTCTTAATAAAAATGTTTCTTTAAACATGTCTTTAAAACATGCAAAACTCCTCTCATAGTCTCTGTTCCTTAAAGGTACTGTCGTCAAGTGTCCTGACTGGTGTCTGGTTTTGAACTGCAAAGGGAAAAGCCATCGCTGAAAACAGGCCGAGTGAGGACTGCTCTTCGCTGCGAAGTGTTCAGTGCTGGTTTCCACCACGGGCCCTGCCTCGTGGTCTCACAGGCCACAGAGATTCACTTCTCTCACCCACCCTGCTCCCTCCCCACTGCCTTCTCTCTAGACTTTGCAGAGTCTTTGTGCCCTGCTACTTCCTATCAATCTGTAGCCGAACCAAATTGCCTAGAATTGTGTTTTTACAATTTCTTTGCAGCATCTTCTTAGGTAGTGCCTTAAATTAAATTGTTTTTCTAATGGGAAACTATCCAGCACCAAAATATAGTATTGTTTTGAATGTGTACCAAGTTATTATATGCAAATTTCAGAGTAAAAATTAAAGAACAAATGTTATTACTATATTTTATAGCCTAGAGGTTGAACTCTGGCAATACATATTGAAAAAGTTTTTTCCTGGAAGCATGGGACTTTCCTCCCCAAAGGATATTTAGGCAAAACTTTGCCATATAAATCCGAAAAAAGGTAAGCTTCTCTGATTGAAATGTGCCACCCCCTGAAGACCCCTAGGGGACAGTCAACTAAACACTACTTAATTAAAAAAAACACATTCTGAGATGTAAAGCTGAAATTGTTAATATCCTGAAGAAAATTCTGTCTTCTTAATTCTCTTTTTTGCATGTTTTTCTACCAGGAAGAAGTATGATGAGGGAGTTCAGCTCTGTTCTGCTGATGAAGAGGTTTTCAATCATTCCACGATCATTATTCCTTCACCTACTTTTTAAACTGTGTGTGTGTGTATTGGTTAAGTAAATGCTCCATGCCCCTTATACTGTGTCATGAAACCTCTCCATGCCTCAGTTTCCTCATCAGCAAAACAGAGCTAAGTCACCTCCTTCCCAGGGTCCTGGAGAGAACTGGGTCCAAAGTGAGGTAATACGTTGCCAACTTCCTCCTGCCTTACGTTCTGTGAGTGCCCAGGAAAGCGGGCTCTTACTAACAAACAGCTACCGCGCTCCGCAAGGGTGCCAGGTATGCAGCAGCTTCTGTCTTCCACGTTGCCTTCCTTCCTGTGCTCCTTCAGAGACGGTTCCTAAAAACTACTGGTTCCTGACACATTCAAATCTCATCAGCTTTTGATGATTCTTTTAATCCATTGGTTCTTATCAAAATAACCGTGCATTTCAGGACCACTACCTGAGAAGCCTATCAAGAAAATCTCTTTGTGTCTATATAATCCAACTGCTTTCTAGAGCCTCCTCAGTTTCCTTGGGGGGATCCAGACAATCATTATTCAGGGATAGGGGTGTAGTGAGTTTTTTGCAGCTGCCAACCCACCCCCGCCTCACCAACTCCTCTAAAGAATCACCATGGTGGCCTATAGTAAAAATTTCTCTGAGGTCCAAGACAAAACTTTTTTGAGCGTGACTTGATTTCTTCTGGAACACAATTATATTCATTGAATGAAATCAAATAGCCAGTTTACCCAGTACTTCACTTAAAAGTTTCTAAGAAAAGGTATAGATGAGGCTATATAGTTCCTGTGTGAGTTAGGAGCACAAGAACTGGTCTGCCTGAGTGTGAATCTCAGCTTTACCTCTCAGTAACCACAGGACCTGAGGCAAGCTACTGAACCTCCCTCCACCTCAGTGAGGACAACCACCTTCATACTGTGCTGTGGGGAGGAATAAGTGAGATGGCTCAGGCAGCGTACTTTCTACTGTGTATCAGACACAGTAATATTGATATTATTGCCATTGGTAAGTCCAACACAACTGATCCCAGAACTAGAGACAATCTTAGTATTTTTGGCAACTCAGAATTGTCTTCAGAATTTCAGAATTTAAATTTTTCTGAGTTATCAAAGATTTATGAAAAAAGAAATAGATTTAGTTGTTATTATTTTAGATTTAGAATAAAGCAAATTAGTTATCACAGTTATAGAGAGATGAATGAATGCATTACAGGAAAATAAACTAGAAAATAAAATCAAACATTTCACTAATATAGTGAATGGCATTCTTAATATAAACATACTGTGCAGAATTTTAACTGTAATGGAGGCCTATTTCTAGAAGTATGGGGAAATCAAAACACTGGTATGAGTCATTTTTTTTTCATTAGGCTGTAATTAACCACACAGTCCTTAATTATTGGAAATGTCTTTATGTGGTAGAGGGGTAGATGGCTAATCTACTTATCTCCACTCGGACCACTTCCACTTTTTGGTGAAGTATAAGGTCAAGTTATCTGTAATTTGCAGAAAGGCCACAGTTGGTTTTATACTGATATGGTTAATGTCCTCACTTAGCATCAAAGACATAAAAATAATACTGTCACAGTCAATCCTGGAGGCAAAAGGGGCCCTGTGATTCATTACTTAATAAACAATTATGAACTGACAGCATTTGATGTGCCAAGTATTAAGTTTAGTGCTGAAAACAAAATGAAAGGTAAGTCAAGCAGAAATACGTGGGCGTGCAAGGCTGTGAAAGTGGAGAGGGCACTGCAGTCCTGAGAACACGGAGTGAGAAGGACACACCCCCATTCTGAAGCAGGAACCGCTTCCCACTGACGTTGTCCAATGGGAATGCAGGTGGAAGAATAGCACATCTTTGGGTTTTTCAACAGACACTAGAAATGCAGATTTTAATGCAAAGATCCCCTATTTTTAGCTTCCGAGGTCAGACGTAAAGATCCCCTATTTTTAAATGATTGCAAATAACTTAGATGTAAAAAAAAATATGAGAAAAAAATGGCCACACTTCAGTGATGAGAAGTCAGACTCAGGAAGCATTTGCACCTGGGAACCTGTGCCCCCTCCTTTCCACACCTGTTGGAGCTGAGGATCTCCAGATCTCAGACCAGGGCTGGCTCCTTGCCGCCATCTGCACTGCCTTCTTTCTCAGGTGACCTCATCCAGTCCCACGGCTATAAATACCACCAAGTGCTGATGATTCCAGAATTCCCTCGCACTACACTTTTTCCTGGATGCCAAACAGTAAATCCAACTACCTGCCGGTCATATATTGAACATCAAATAGGTAACTTGAGTCCCTGCCTCGCCCAGCTCTGTTCTCCCAATCTGCTTCAATTTATTATTTTTTATTTTTTAAAGATTTTATTTATTTATCTTTAGAGGGGAAGGGAAGGAGAGAGGGAGAGAAATATCAATGTATGGTTGCTTCTCATGTGTCCCCTTCTGGGAACTGGCCTGCAACCCAGGCATGTGCCCTGACTGGGAACTAAACCATGATACTTTGGTTCACAGGCCCACGCTCAATCCACTGAGCTACACCAGCCAGGGCTCTAATCTGCTTCAATTTAGTTTCTACTTCCACCATCTATCCATTTGTTCGAGCCAAAATCTAGGGAGTGTGTTTACTGTGTTTCTTCCTCCTGTTCTCTACACCCAAGTGCTGTTGTCTTTACCTCCATTTCCCCTGAAACTGGATCATCTCCATCTGCTACCATTCTGGTCTATACCACTGTGATTTCTCACCCAACTACCTCAAGACTTTCCTAAAATTCCCCTTACCTTACCCACTTGGCCCACCATAATCCACTGTTCACGTGGTCTTTTGTACATGTAAATCATACCACATTGTCCCCTTGTTCTAAACCTTTAACCATTTTCAGAATAAAATCTGAACTCTGTACTCTAAACCAAACACAAAGTACTAGGGTCTCACTCTGGCCTACTTTTCCAGTCTCGTCATAAACCACACCCTGTCCAATGCCAGGCTGCAGCTCCTTCAGCTTCCTTCTGGTTTGGAAACGTGCTTATTCCCGCGTCAGAGAAGTCTTCCTCTTTCTACCTGGAATGCTCTATCCCTGGCTTTTGATGTGACTGGCTCCTGTTCCTTGTCTATTTCTCAGCTAGTTTTACCCCACCCACGACGCCCTTGGGGCTCTCTCACAGCATTTCCCCCTTAAAACACTTGTATATTTATTGTTTATATGTTCATTTATTTTTATTTATTCAATTATGTGTGCAGGCCAAATAAATAGTTGTAAGAGGCTGAAGCTAAGAAGATTGGTTTTGGAGTATACTTTATCTCTAATTTATTCTGGGCGGTCCATAAAAGCAGTCCATAAAAACAGTCACTTTATCTGGGCAGTCCATAAACACAGTCACTTTATCTGGGGCAAAGAATAAAATTACTTATTCTTTAAAATTTGATTTTTGTTTACCCGATACTATCTCAATGAAGTATTTGACATCTAATCAACTTTTTAGTATTTTAAACTAATTAAGACTGTGTAATAAAAGAAAAAGTGAAGAGAAGACACAAAAATAATCATATGCAGACTTTGGAGATTTAAACCCTGTCAGCTTACGAGAAAGTAAGAATTGACAAAAAGTAACTGGAATTTGATCCTGGATTTATTTAATGCCCATGTGTTGATCATCTACTATGTTCCAGATACTGACTTAGGTGGCGGAGATACATCAGCTATCCCTGCCCTGGTGAGGCTGACCTATGTTCTTGCAGCAGAGATGGACAAAAACAACTACTTAAAAATAAAGTTGACAGCCAGTTCTACAGAGAAAAAGAAATGAAGATGTGAGAGAAATAAGAGTCCAGAAAAAGGGGAGAGTGCAGTAGTCAGGCAAAATTTTTTTTAAGATTTAATTTATTTATCTCTAGAGGGGAAGGGAAGGAGAGAGGGATAGAAACATCAATGTATGGTTGCCTCTCGTGAGTCCCCTGCTGGGAACTGGCCTGCAACCCAGGCATGTGCCCCGACTGGGAATCGAACTGCGATCATGTGGCTTGCAGGCCCGAGCTCAATCCACTGAGCTACATCAGCCAGGGCCTCAGGCAAATTTTTTTTACCTGAGAAATAAGCCCAAATTGGAAGAAGGGGAGGAGATTAGCTGAGGGAAACTGTTCCTCATTAGCTATGCAATCTGGGACAAGAAACAAAATCTCTGGATCTTGATTTCTTCATTTGTACAATGGCATATTGATCTAGATGTTGTACACTGAAGTCCTTTTAAGTTCTTAAATTCTGTAAACCAGGGGTGTCCAACCTGTGGACTTTTTGCTCATCAGTTTTTGTTAGTGTTTATATATTTAATGTGTGGCCCAAGACAACTCTTCTTCCAGCATGGCCCAGAGACGCCAAAAAGTTGGACAGCCCTGCTGTAAACTATGGTTTAGCTCTTGTCAGTGTTAGAATGAAGGCAGTCATCAAGTCAGTGTTCATTAAGCCTATGCGATGCGTCATTGTGTTGCTAAATGCCACAGATGCCACAGGATTTAAGAAATGCTTATCATGATAGCAATAATTTGGATATATCCCATTATACTCATTCATTTATTCAACAAACTACATATTACATATTACTAAAACACATATTAAACACCTACTATGTGCTAGGTACTGCTATAAAGCTGCGGTGTTACAAAGCTGACAATCTGATGAGGAAAGAGAGCCATTTGAACTCGAAGTAACACATTCTATCCTGGAACAGCAGAGTACTTTGAGATGCACAGAATGGAGAAATTAACCCAGTGGGTGGGGAGTGCCCACTTCTGCCAGGGGTTCTAGATAAGCATTCTTTTTTCTACCCATAAACTTCTGACATTTCTTTCTTTAAAAAATTATTGCTTTATCTTTGAGAAAGTGACAGTAAACTTTACTTATTAAATAGAAATAAACAATTTTTCTATTACTCTTATTTTTTTAAATTTAAAAGAATAACATTTAGCTTATCGCTGTTCACCTTGTAAGCATATTAAAGGAAAACTACTTAAGTTTGGAAAGCTTCCATTTTTTACAAGGAAAGTAAAAGTATCAGGGAATGTTTAATACTATTGGGGAAATTTTAAATTGTGAAACTAAACAGAACAATGAAGGCAATTTATAAAATGTTTATTTCATTAGAACTACAGTTCTGTTAACAAATACGTTTGAGAAACATGAGCTTTTCCATCAGCCTTTGTGTTTCCTTTCCCTGGGCAGCGAGGAAGTAACAAACATGACGACAATAACTGCCTTCTACTGGAAGCCAATTGCGTGCCAGGCTCAGTGGTAAGCACTTGTTCAAATGGTATCCAATGTAATCCTTACAAAGCTCTGTGGAATAAACTGCAACTATGCTCAATTTTATACATCAGACAACTAAGACTTGAAGAGATTAATTGCCTATGTTCAAAGCCAGTAAATGGCATTAGGGGAAAAACTCTCTAACTTGTCTTCAGAAGACCTGCACTTGAACACCAGAGACAGAAAGCATTGGTTCTCTGACCTTAATAACGTCAACCAGTTACTTATTTAGTATAATTTTTACTATTTTGCTTTTTATGTTGCTTAATGAGCAAATGGTCGTATAGTTTCTCTGCTATCTATGTAAATGTCTTCTTAAGCACTGTGTTTTTTAAAAAAGTATATCCATTATCTCTGAATCTCTATCTGTAATTAAAAGTCTACGGAAAGAACTTTTGGACCCGATCCAAATATTTTTAAAAATATACTTTTGTGTATTGGTACTCCATATAAAATTCTTCCTAATGGTCTCCAGTTTCAAAGGCTTCAGAAGCTGTTTGACTAGGCATATCGTGAAACAAGAGATGTAACGCATCAGTTGAGAGTGTTGTAAGACAGTATTAACAGCAGCTCTCTTCCTGCATCTGTATTTGAAGAAATTCCTATCCTCTACATTAGGGACAGCAGATGATAGACAACCTAATATGTTAATTGAACATTTTTAGCTTACTCGATGGACAAGTAAAGCTTGCTTTCTTTTTTTAAATTGTATTTTAATTTTAATTGTTGTTCAAGTACAGTTTTTTGTCTTTTACTCCCATCCCAGCCCACTGAAACTTGCTTTCTTATGTAACCAAATTGCTTCAATAATATAATTAAAAAATAAATTAGTACATTTACATTTTTTATCTAAGACTGTGTTTTAATGGGAAGCTGGGAGAGTATTCTTTTTTTAAAAAATATTTTATTTATTTTCAGAGAGAGGGGAAGGGAAGGAGAAAGAGTGGGAGAGAAACATCAATGTGTGGTTGCCTCTCATGTGTCCCCTATGGGAACCTGGACTGCAACCCAGGAGAGTATTCTTTTTTATAACTGGCAAAACACTTTTCACCAGAAACCCTTTGCACAGGGATGTACACATGCATTTTCTTTCCCAATAATCTTACTTGAAAAAAAAGAACAGATTAAATACTTTTGTGCCCATATATCTATAGATGCTCCCACAACAAAATTGTGAGAAAGCCTTCAGAAAAATAATCAGGTAACTTCTGCATGAGACTCAAAATCACACTGTCAAAGAGCTCAGCACTGAATCAGGCAGCTCAGGAGAATTTGAGAATCCTGTGTGTATTTTCCTGGGGTGATTTAGGCCTGTGAACTTAAGAGTATAAGCATAGAGATTTAATGAAAAGTGGGAGGTAGAAACGGTGTCTTTGCAGTGATGTGAATTTTGAACAATTTTCTGTCACAGAGGGAAGCTTGTATTGCTTATCAGTACAATTCAGGAATTTAAGAGTCAGATTCACTAAATCATCGGACAGCAAAATTCTTATAAAATTTTATGAGGGTTTTAGCCTCTTTAAAGTCCTTCTGGAATTAGCCATGCTTGATAAATAAAAGCAATAAGACGTGCTTGATAAATAAAAGTATAAATAAGAGAAAATAATCTTATTTAAAGTAAGTAATGCGAGTTATCTGCATTAGAGATTGCTATGCTGAGCAGTTTATTTTTGCATATGAAAGACAACTGAAATTACATCAGGCCCCTGGAAGTGTTTCTCTGAAGGATTGATGAATGTGTGTGTTCAATCTAAATGCTGTCAGAAAGGGAAAAGAAAATTTTCTATTAGCTGAAAAGTAACAAGAACAGGTATTTGGAGTAATTTTAAAATAAATTAAGACTTGTGGACCTAGCCAGCATTATAACCCCGATCCAAATCCCATTTCAGTATTAGCAAAATGTAGGCCTTGTGGTTTTATTACTTGAAAGCTATGAGCAACTTTCTAAGAATATCAATTTACAATTAAAATGAAGTGAACTATTGAGTTATTTTTTTTAAAAAGCTAGATAGTGTATGCAAATAATCTGGGTAATTTTGAGACCTCCTGCCAGAAATTCCTTCACACTGTATTCCAACAGAATATAAGGGAATGGAAAGACTGGAGCCATAGAAGTTTTCCCTGTTGATGAAACTTAAATATGACTTAAAGGCTCTCCAAGTGTAATTTTGAAATGTTAATACACTTCCAAAATAATATTTTCATACTCTGGGTGCAATTTAAACTAAATGGTTTGTACATAGTTCATGATATAACAGGTATTTGTCTAATCATAACTGAAAACCACAGCTAAAGTTTATTTAAATCATCTTTAAAACTGCTATCCTTAATAATGAGTAGGTATTAACCTTTTGGCTGAACTGAATTCTGTGACTAGATGTTACAAAGATGTTATTTCTCATCAGTAAAAGACTCATGGACTTGGACCACAGTGTGGGGATTGCTGCAGGAAGGGGGTACAATGAGTCTAAATGGAAAAAATACAATAAAGATCAAATTTAGAAAAGATATCTTTGTGTATAAACATAGAGTTTGGGAAACAGCTTTGATTCATCTACTGTACACATTAAAAAAACAGCTGAGTCAGCAGCTTGCATAGTAACAATTTATGATTGTATAATTCCTTTTCATGGTCCAGCAGTGAAAAACACAAAGCTGTTGGGAGCAAAAAGAGCTGAGAGAGATGTGTCTAAAACAGCTAGCTATCGTCAAATCAGAATTCTATTTGGGTAGTCATAATACACACAGGAAAATGCTTCTAGCCAGACTTACACTGTCATTTGACCTTCACAAGTCATACTTTTCAACAGTGGATGCAGTTTTCTGAGACTACCCTTTTGACCTTGAAGACATAACTTGATGTTTCCTACCTCTTAGCAAACTTACATTGCCTCTGGTCCCCAGACTGGGCTCACCTAAAATTAATATCATCATATGTTTAAACTGTTAAACTATGTAAGACTTCTTTTAATTATTTAGCACACAAGGGCAAAGAGAGAAGCTCAAGCTCCTTTAGAACCATCTTTTCCTAATTGCGTAAGTCTCTTAGCTTTCCTAGTGCAGGATGTCCCTCCTCTGAGGCTGGGACTGAGGAAAACGCTGCATCGTACTGCAGCCCCAAATCTTGCTACAGCTCTAAGGCTTAGGGATCAGCTGAGCTGAAAAGACTTATTCAGAGGCAATGTGCTGGTCTATTGGAACTAAATATTTACCAAAGGAGGTTATAACGGGGTAAGTTACTTTTCCCTCAGCCTTAGCTTGTCTGACTTTCATTTTCACATTGCTTTTCCTAAGATGATTACGTTAACAGCATGACCTTATAAGTTTTACTTCCTATTCCCCCCCCAACCCCGCTCCCATTGCCTTGCATTTAAATAAACTTTAAGCCCTCTGTTCTACTTAAAAGATATCAACTGTGCTAAAAAGCCTTGACTAATTGCATCAACTCCCAGTAGTGGGACATTCATAAGCCATTCCACTTTAATTGTCCCCAATTCTTAACTCTGCTGTAATGCTATAGCATTCAAAAGCCAGGGAGCATGTTCACCAATTAGCAGAAAGGAAAAGAGAAAGTCAATGCAGCATAACTAAAATGAAGAAACACTAACCAAGCATGTCAACTCGAAGTAACTTGAAATTCATTTGAATTTCATAAGAGAACCTGCGTTTTCTTACCTTGGATGTGAATAACTCTGCCATGATCTAGGGTATAGTTGTCTGAAGGAGGGTCAGCCCAGCAGACTGAAATCAGCACCAGAAGAAGTAGGCTCTTCATCTTTGTAGCCCAAGACTCTTCTTCACTGTGAGAGCATCACATACAAAGAGGCTTGTGAGATTTGGAACCCTTTGGAGTGTTGCACTGCACAACTTATTACCGCCTTATCATCATAGAATGGGTCTGTAAAAATATTTAACCCAATCTGTTCAGAAAGTTTTTGTAGCTGTCTTTGGGAGCTGAAGACTGCAGCTTTGAACAATTCCAGTTTCGTTTATGGAGCCAGAGTCCAAATAGTGTTTAACTCTATCTTTGCAGAATTGTAAAATTTAAGATAGTATAGTTTCGATAACAGAGTTATAGCAAGGTGCAAAGACATGTGGCAAGGATATAACAGACTTTTAAAAGAATGTTTCAACCTCTTAATTTGAAGTATAAGATAATTACACACATTTCATATTATCTATATATGGATATTTATCAGCCAGTCTAATTAGAAATAGAATGTTAAACAAGGGCAAATAAAGAATATTTGTGTGAAAGTTAACATCATCATTCATTTTCCATGTGGCTTCCTAAGCAGTTTAGATTTGCTTGTTTTAAAAGGACAAAAAAGGACCAAAAAAAAAACCTGATTAAGCAGAAGCAGCACATTCATTACACAATCACTTACCATCTTAAACACTGCTTAGGTCTATGGTGAATAGTTGCAAATTATGGACAAACTAGGTTAGAGTTGTACCTGCTACCACTGCAGTCATTCTGATTGATTTTTCATTCATTTCCACCTAAAACGCTGACGCACCAACTTTGAGTGCCAGGTAGGGTCTCTGCAGTCAGCAGAGCCACGCCGCAGGGAAGGTCCCTGCCAGCCTCACAGTGCAATTAGGCAAATGAAGAGCTGAGACAGACGGTGAGCAGCAGCTCTGGTCCTAAGTGAGAGAGGCAGAGCCATCACTCGGCTGTCCTTTACTGCAAGACCAACTGATAAAAGGGGACAGCATCTACCCCTCAAACTCCGTCACTGGAAGGAGCAAAAAGTCTTTCCAAGTGATTGATACAGACCTTATGACCTTTGCAGTTTCTGCCGAGCAAGAGTTTCAGTGTGGCTGCTCTGTTTCAATGTGGAATCCGAGGCAAATATTAACAAGGGCTTTCTTTTTCTCTCATGCACACAGAAGCCTTCACAATACTTGGCTATTTTTAAAGCTGAAATTGCACAGTACTGGCTTCTCACACTAATTTGTTTTTTCCAGGAAAGCCTGACTCCCTGGAATACTTATTAAAGAGCTCTCAGTCTGTTCCTGGAGGTCCTCACCAGCCAGCTTCTATTCTAGAGCCAAACGCCCTGTTCACTCTACTCATTGACATCCCCTGAGTCTCTCTGGGGACCACGACACCTGCCTGCATTCTTCTCCCCTCTACACACTGGCAGTACCGTGATGCTTAAGGCTTTAGTTTTTCATGTTTGCTTTAGCACTTTTCTTCTTCATTATGCCACAGAAAGAAGACGGTGGATGAGCAAACTGAGAAATTTTTCCAGAAAATGAAGTGTCACCTTCAAAATTCTACCTGATACACTCATCATCTTTTCAGAAGTTCACTACTGGCTTGTTCCTCTGAGGATTTTTTGAAATGGTTATTTTTTGATGGCACTGACTTTTGACCATGGAATACTCTTAACAAAGATTACCTGTTTTGATCCCAGAATATATTTGGGTAAAGAAATATAATAAAGTTGGCCATTTTGGAATTTAGAATATAATTGGGACAATTGTATACACAAACATAAAACAATGGGCAAAACAGCACAAATTTATAATTCTCCTTTAATTCCAGACCAAACTATTAAATATTATACCACTAAGGGCTCACTTCATTTGTTAAGGTACTAATTGTCCAAGGACCCAATTACATATGTAAACATGGGGTTAGAAATAACAATAATCCTAGTAACTCTTTTTGACTGAATGTCTACTACTTGCCAAGTGTTATCTATGCTAAGTGCCATGCATACAATGCTCATGCAATCTCTGCAATAACACCACGAGACAAATATTTCCAATTTTGCAGTTTCTTGCTGAAGGTCATGCATCTAGTAAGTGGCAAAGCTTGTATTTGCTTTCAAACAAAAATAGCACCTACTTTGAGTTGTGCTTATATTTCCAAAAAAATGAAACATTTTATTTGTTTTGTTGCCTTTTTACATTTAGGCTTTTTAACTTGAACCTACTATGATCTTGAAACTCTGACCTGTGTTATACATGAATACAAACTTCCCCCCCAAGACTTAGATAAAAGAAGCCAGATGGCGTTTTGGTTACCACGACTGCTCACCTCCTTGTTTATGACACCGCCCTGGTGCCATGGACACTTTTTTGGTGGCTCATGTGTATGTACATACATGTGCACTCTCACACACACCATCTTCAGTTTTAGAAAAGCTGAGGACATTGCACGACTTCAGTGGTCTGTGATTAGAATGGAGGCATCTTTTCCGTGAACGCCTCCAAGGACCCACTGCCATTAGCACCCTACAGGTAGGACAGAGTGGAAATCATCTTTGCCACACTGGCAGCATAACAACGGTCTCACCAAAAGATCTGTGACTAGAACATTGAACTTTAGGGACACAATCTGCAGGTCTTTCAGCAAAGTACGCACGGGGTACCACACACTAGACTGAGGTTCTTGAGGACAAGGGCTGTGCCAGAGGTCTGTGCACCAGCCTTCAGAGAAAAAGGGTGCCGAATCTTGCTTACTTGCATTTTATAATGATGTCTTCTCTGAATATTAGGTGTGCTTGGCAAAAAAATTTAGCCTTTGATATGAGTAAAATTTAGGACATTTGGGGGACTTTTATCCCACCAGCCTTGAATCAGCATTCTTAATTCGATTACAACTCATACACAGATGATCTCTTTTTGGAACCCATCCAGCCTTGAGACAGTGATGCTAGGGCCGGCTTCCCAATGAGTTCAAATAGACATGTCCATGTCCATAGTCAAAGACATGGCGGACTGTAATTTTACAGTTCAGCTTTAGTGATGATTGAACCTCTATTTGGGAGCAAGATATTTTGGACAACCCAAAATTCTAGAAGTTTGATAGATAGAAATGAAGACATGTTAATTAATACCAACAGTCTAACACCAAGGTGGCCAATTGTTATTCCTTAAACACCCACTATTTAACATTATTGTGTTAGGCAATGGATAAACAAATCCAAGTGGCATCCACACAACTTTCTGTGCCTGGAGAGCTAACGTCATCTATTTCCTCCGCCACCACTTTATGCTCGGCAGTTGAAGTAGTGTGTTAGGAGACCCCTGTCAGAATGGTGAAGTCCCATCATGGGCAGGGAAGAGCCTGCAATCTGGGCAGTGTTCCCCGGAGCCCTCACTCCCCACCCCTCTACTGGTGGCCTGTGTGCCCGAGGAATGTCACCGGCTCCGGTAGCCAGCTCTCACGACTCCTTCAAGGTCTCACTCGCACAAGCTAGAATGCCCTCATCCCTCATCCTCATCCCTCTCTCACCGGCTTGTGGGTGTGTAGCACTGGGTGTAGCCCTGTTTGTGCAAGGCATCTGCGAGTTCAAGTCTGAATGCTCTTCCAGCTGCACACCTGGCACCCCGCACTGCACTGTGTCCTGAGAGGAAGACTGAATGGAAAATGGGCCTGGGGAAGCCAGTCACATGGAATAAATAAGCCAAAACTGAGGGGAGATTTTGCTCCGTTTAAAGATTACGTGTGTAATTGTATGGAGGATGATGAAGAGCTACTTTTTCTCCATAATGATACAAACCTGTTTCAGTTTAGCACTTGACATTTAGTTTAGGAATTATGAGAATCAGTATAGAGGTTTCTAGAAAAAAATTTTAACTCTATTTTTTTTAAATTGTTCAAGCACAATTGTCTCCATTTCTCCCCCATCACTCCCCCCAGCTCCCCTTCCCCCACCTCCCACCCTCAGTCCTACCCCCCTTTGGCTTTGTCCATGGGTCCTTTATATACGTTCCTTGGCGACCCTTCCCCTTCTTTCCTGTTATCCCCTTCACCCCTCCACTCTGGTTACTGTGAGTTTGTTCTTTATTTCCATGTCTCTAGTTGTATTTTGTTTGCTTATTTTTGAATGAACAAAGAAACCATACAATCTCAAACCAAAAAATATTTTTTGATGAAATTATTTTAAAATAGACTGAAACTTCTCTTTGATATCTTATAAGTCTGATCTATTCACAGTCAGAAGAGGGTTCATGATTAGCATTTTCTAAAAACTGGTCAGTGGTGCAATGAAATGAACTGCAAAATGTACTTTTGTTACTGGGTTAAATTTACTCAATTTTAAAAAATGTTCTTATTTTTCTGAGGTTACTTCTCTTGCCATTTTGCTGTTAGAAAGACCTTTATTTTATAAAATTATAAATGTTAGACTTTTCAAATTATAGATTTACTATCCTTACTTAACATTTTTAATGGGTCATCAATTGCTTTATGTTGGTGGTGAGCTTTGTTTTCTGTTTTGACATTACATGTAGGAAAAATACAGAAGTCAGACCATTGATGTAAATGATGGGGAAAGACCTTAGACTAATGATGTATCTGAATTGTTCAGTGTGTGCAGGTATAGTACATCTGGTTCTTTACTTAAGCCTCAGGATTCACTGCATATAATGGTAAAGAATGCAGAACTGCTTGGAATATACCCAATGCTCAAGAAAGAAACCATAACTGAAAAAAATCTTTGTTCAACTATACGAATAATTCCCCTCAGGGAGTGAGTTTGTATATACTTCAAGTGAACAAAGCATTCTCCATCATTTTTCATTGTTCTACCAAAGAACAAGCTACTGAAGAAACTGAAGGGCATTTGTGATGTCCTGAATTAGATGTGCAGTCACAGACATTGTGGTGACCTCCTAATCTGGCCCTGGTTCCTTGCCCTTGGCATGACCCTTTGGCAACCTGGTAAATGGAAGGAGTCCTAAATCAAGAAGAAGAAACACAAGTTCAACTCCAGATCTCATCTCTACTATATCAAGTCTTGATTTCTGCACCCACAAAATAGTAATAATTATAATAATA